TATATATATATATATATATATATATATATATATATATATATATATATATAATTGTTTAATATTTTATAATTTTATATAATTTTTATAACTTTATAAATTTATAATTTTAATTTTAATTTTAATTATATTAATTATATTAATTATATTAATTTATAATTTTAATTATAATTTTTAATTTTAATTTATAATTTTAATTTTTTAATTTTAATTTATAATTTTATAATTTTATAATTTTATAATTGTTTAATATTTTGTTTAATATTAATTGTTGTATATTATATTTTACTTTATTAAATTGTTGAAAATTATAAAATTCTGCATTGTGCCATTTTTTAAACGCAAAAATAGAAGAATAATACTAGAACAATTCTATACTACTTTAAACTCAAAATCGATAAAACACTTCGAAACTTTCCCTTATCAGTTACTTCAGTCGAGTTTTAATGCAGCTAAATGTTCAGCCGCAGTAACAGAGATATTATTTCTCATAAGCGAGTTTTTCGCTTATTGTCCATTCAGTTGCACGGATTGAAATTTTTTTCCGTGTAGATTCTCAAATGTACAATCATAGAAATTCATTTTAGCCAATAACAACGCAAAGATGCTGGTAGCAAGTAATTTGTCGCGGGAGAAAATAATAATACCAATGAAATAACAATGTACGTGCACGGAAAAAAGTTTCAGTTCGTGTATCGGAATAAGACTAGAAACTTGCTGAGAAATATCTCTGTTACCAAAAATATTCGCGTAAACATTTAGCTGCATTAAAACTACAGGAATCTTTTTGTTTTACCGAATTTTTGTTTAACCGAATTTTTCATCTGGTTTCTAGATAACAGAACATATAGTTACACTAACGGAATTGTATGGATTACTAGCTACTTTCCATCATTGAGTTAATTTATGTCCCTAATATTATAATTAAAGTAGTTGTATCGTGAAATAAGTTTCGTAAGAATTTGAGGAAACCTGTACTACATGCACATTGAAATATTATTTAACTACTCGTGCAGTTAGAAAAAGATTGACTATTCTCGAGAGCTGAGATATTTGTAACTAAGATTGGCACGTTTTTACGTGTTTCTTGAAAATCTAATGTACTGTTCTTAATTTCTATTTTTAATACCTTCTAAACTCTCTACACATGAAATTTCTATAAAAAACTACTGTGATATATTAGAGACTAATATATAGGCTTTATACAAAAATTTCGGAATTATTGACAAATTTATTTTGAAAATATAGCAATGAAAAGATCAAAATTTATAGTAGTCGAAATATTTATAATACTCGGAATGTACATACAGTAGGTTGCAAAACGGTTTAGACGCTATGAAATTGGGATTTCTCCAAACTGTCAAAATTGAGTTATTATAGTGTGTGTGGCTAATTTGCCTAATCATTATATTTATTATTATTATTATTTATTATGTGATGTATTATATAATTATATTATTAATTACATTATAATTGCGTAAGGCCGACGGTAATAACTCTTAATTTTAACAGTTTAGTAAACACCTAATTTTCTAAGTGCAAATTCTAAACATAGCATGTGAAAAGCATAATATACATTTAATGTATATTAAATATTTTTTGTGATGCTACTGCAACAGAAAAAATATGGCTATTTTTAAAAATAATTAAAGAAGATTTGTGAATGATCACGCGAGATATGGCAGATAAGCTAGCGACGTGCGCTTACATATTAGGTCAAAACTGAACAAAAAACTACCATTTTCCTAATAACTTTGTAGATTTTTAATTATTAACTAAAGAAGATTGGTAGAGTCGTTCACGATATATTAATATTATTCAATTAATAACTAAAAATCTACAAAGTTATTGTGAAAAAAATACAGGATTTTTTTGTTCAGTTTAACCTAATGTACAAGCACACAACAGCAGATGTCGCCACTATAGCTCATCCATTATATCTCGCATAATCATTTACAAATATTCTTTAATTAATATCTCGATAATTATTATGAATATCGCAAAATGCTATAGGATTTGTATGTTTACTTTAATCTATACTATGCCTTCACGAGAGCTTCGAAAATTGTTCTGGGACATCTTGTTCTAGTATCATCCCTGATACAACTATCTTAAATTCTCTGCTCAATTGAACGTCATGCTCTTTTCTACGTAGCGTATTATTTCACTCCGATTGCATTGCCGACTTGTCGATCCGCCAAAGAGTTTGGCATTCAAATACAAGTCGACACTTTTGGCCAATATTACACGTCTTACCACTGAACTCAGCACTGCTTAAGAATCTTTTTTCTCTTTGAGAGAGGAGAGAGGAGGTTGAAGAATGTGTTGTTTCAATTTCAATGTTTTGCTTTTTCCGTTGTATAGAGATTTGTGCTTTTCTCTAAATTGTAATTTTATCCAAATAGCAACTTCATATTGAAGAAGGTCAACGTTTGACCGAAATGTTTATGTGACGAACTGTCACGGTTAATAAATAATTGTTACATTATGTTAGAGAATAACGGTTGTGGCCAAGTATTTATTTCAGTTTTTTTCTTCTTACTTCAATTTCGCCGCTGCTATCGTTCATGTTATGCTTCCCGATGATCATTTCGATACCTCCAAGATTCTCAAGCAGATTCACGATAACGTAATGACGAATTCTACATATTACGTGGTTTTGCAATTCTGCGTATGTGGCAGGAACTATATAGCGGCGGTGCAGATGCCGTCGTTTCTTTTCGCTTGGGTGACAATGTTTTTATTGTACCTGAAGATCTGGAAGGAGGCGCAGATGTGCGTACGCCGAATGAATCTCAGCATCGTCTCGAACTTCACTGAGAAAAACGATCGCGGGAGCGTACACGTACGTATAGAATGCTCTGATCTTATTACTGCCCTTTTTTCATTGACAAGGAACCCCACATAAGTGTTTAGCTCCGATTTGGATGAGCTTGAAATATATTATAATTTAGACCAAAAAAAGAGACACATGTTTTTTATACGTGTCTCTATTCTCAACTTTAAAAATAAATTAATGCGTTAATTTAACTTCTGATTAATTTAGGATGGATATTGAGGGTTTTATTACCATATAATAATTTGAACTCAAGAATAGTTTAAATAAGTCTCGTTTAAAACAAAATTATTCTATAATATAAATTAATCATTACTCGCTAAATAACTGCGAGTTGGCTTTTAAAGACTGTGTTTAACTGTGTATAAACAAATAGTAAAAATTTGTGCTTTTTATAAAAAAAATCAATTTTTTATTAAACATTTTATTATTAATATCGAAATATGGCAATTCAGACTCTTATTTAAGATACCTTAAAATATTTTTCAAAATTTTGTCAAATTTTTTCGCTACGTTGTTTTTCATTATTAATAATCTGAAAAATATGAAAAAATCAAAATATTTACTATTGTAAATTCAAGTAAAAAATAGTATTTGTAAAAATTGGCAAGTGGTAAGGGTATGTTGACAATCATAACAAATATCTGATTCAAATATCTGATTTTGCCATTGTACTTCTAAAACCATTTAATTTTTGTCTAGGAAATTTTTTTCTATCTCTTATACTTTTGACGGAATATGCTCCTAAAGAAAAAAACCAATTTTTTTCAAAGGCGTGTTTTGTCCCCTAAAAGCCCGCTTGGGCACGTATAAAAAAATACGTGTCTTTTTTTGTCTGAATTACAATATATTTCAAGGTTATCCAAATTGAAGCTAAACACTTATGTAGAGTTCCTTGTGAGAACGTGAAATTTCTGGATCTAAAAGCCCGACGAACATCGGCGCTCGATGCGATAAGCAATAATCTTTCTTTCACAGGTGGTGCTGATGATACTAGGTTGCTTCACGATCTGTTGGCTTCCGTACCTCGTGGTGGCGAGCATGCGGAGCTTCAATTGGATGCGAGACTCGACGAATACATGGTATAAAGCCACGTTCGCGTTGGCCCTCGCCAACAGCGGAATGAACCCTCTCATATACACGTGGAAGAATACCAGCTTTCGCCGAGCATTCCAGAGGATCTTGCGCTTCAAGTCGCCCAATAACAAGCTCAACTCGAGCCTGAAGGTGTTCTTGGAGCAGCAACACAACGAGATCAAGAACAAACAGAAAGACGCGGAGAATGAACCGAGCGGGAACAGCGGTTTGCATGGATACTCGTCCGAGCAACAGAATAATCGCGCGGAGGAGACTGGAGTGGAGAACACGACTTTGTAAAGACGATCGACCGTGTGTCGAGAGTCGAGAATTATCTCTCTTTATAAAAATTATAAATTATTTCACTTTCTATATTTAGTCTGCAGATATCTTTCTCCAAGAAATTATATCAAATGAAAAGAGAAAGCAACAACAATAGTTGCGCGTCAAGTTTTCGATACACTTACTTTGCCGCAGTTCACTCAGAAAGCCTATCTCACAGTCCATCCTGTATTTTCCTTTTATAATTGTATAAAACGGATTTAGAGCTTGTTTATGTGGTCATAAAGAAAAAGAAAATCGCAGTCAAATATGCAGAGTTGGGTATAAGATAATATTCTTTTTAACAACATTAAGAAAAATTATCCTATAAAAATTACCAAACAAAAATTTCCGACCAAAATCTTATTAATTTTTATATCTGATCGATTCTTATAATCCGAATTAATTTTTTTATTGGTTTATTTGAAATGTCTTTATGATTGTAAGTACTCGATTAAATTTAATCAGATACCCTGATCGGATATGAAAATTGATTGGAATTTGATCGAAAATATCTGTTTAATAAATTTTCATCAGGTAATTTCTCTCAGTGTAAATTAAGTTTAATATTAATAACTTATAAAATTAAGTTAAATGTTAACAAAAATTAATTTAATTAAAAATTAAATGCAAATATTAAGTTTATGAAACAAAATTAACCCTTTGTAGCATGATGGGTCGCTCAGCAACCTTTTTCCGCTCAGTTTTTCATTATTTTAACGAATTTCTTGTCAGATATCGAGTTTCTTGTTTTCCAAAATCCCTTAGTACATGAATAAAAAAATAAGCAACCGTAAATTTTTATATGCATAACTATTATAAATAAACAAATAGTAAAAATTTGTGCTTTTTATAAAAAAATCACTTTTTTATTAAACATTTTATTATCAATATCGAAATATGGCAATTTGGGTTCTTATTTAAGACAACTTAAAATATTTTTCAGAATTTTATCAAATTTTTTCGCTACGTTGTTTTTCATTATAAATTAATAATCTGAAAAATATGAAAAAATCAAAATATTTACTATATATTATGAGATTTTTTGATCCATTGAATTCTCATCTAAAGTCAGGATTTTCAAATGTTTTAAAATTCAAGATGATAGAACCATATTATGAACTAGTATGAATTAAAAAATTCTGATTCTTAATTCATAATCAGCGGCCTGAAAAAGCTCCGGATACAAAATTTGGAAAAAATCGGTCTAATACATAAATTCGTGACACAAAGGGTTAAAAATTAATAATACAAAGCAATATATGTCTTTTGCATAATTAACTTTTTAACCATAGATTAAATTTTTGCAAAATAATAATGACAAACTATATTTTTATAACAAATTTTATAAAAACATTTTATATAAATATTTTTGAGAATATCATACAAAAAAACGTGTCTGCGAAGTTGGCACCTCAACTTTTGGCACAGCAAGTTTTGAGGCAAGTTCCATTTGCATTCGCAATAGTTCTACAGTTCCTGATAGGTCATATCAATAGTTCTGTTCATTTAAGGCAAAAAATCGATTTTTTTTTAAATGCGGTGCCAACTTCGCGTGGCATCTCAAATTCCAAAAAACACTGTTCCAACGATGATACTTCATAGTTCTTGAAGAGTTCTATAGTTCTTGATATATTGCAACGAAAGTTCTGAGCGATAAGGTCCCGACAAAGGAACTGGTCTCCAACTATTTTTTTGGGCCAGATCCTTCGACGGGACCTACCCAAAGCTTTGGAACTATGGTAGAACTATAGGGAAATGTGAAAAGACCGGTTGGAACTGTGTGCGAACTGATACTTTACTCTTGTGGTGCGGTGCTAGCTCCAATTTTTAAAAATAAAAAAAAAAATAGTTGCGGGTCAGTTCCTTCGACGGGACCTACTCGATGCTTTCGAACTATTGTAGAACTATAGGAAAACGTGAAAAGACCGGCTGGAATTGCGTGCGAACTGATACTTTACTCTTATGATGCGGTGCTGGCTCCAACTTTTAAAAATTAAAAAAAAATAGTTGGAAACTAGTTCCTTCGACGGGATCTATCCAAAGCTTCGGAATTATTGTAGAACTATAGGGAAATGTGAAAAGACCGATTAAAACTGTGTGCGAATTGATACTTTACTCTTGTGGTGCGGTGCTGACTCCAATTTTTAAAGATTTTTTTAAATTTTTAAAAATAAAAAAAAATAGTTACGTGCCAGTTCCTTCGATGGGACCTACGCAATGCTTTGGAACTATTGTAGGACTATAGGAAAATGTGAAAAAGCCGGCTGGAACTACATGCGAACTGATACTTTACTTTTGTGTTGCGGTGGTGGTTCCAACATTTAAAAATTAAAAAAAATAATTAGGGACCGGAACTCTCGTTGCAATATATCAAGAACTATAGAACTCTTCAAGAACTATGAAGTATCATCGTTGGAATGGTATTTTTTGGAATTTGAGATGCCACGTGAAATTGGCACCGCATTTTTTAAAAAATCGATTTTTTGCCTTAAATAAACGGAACTATTGATATTACCTATCAGGAATTGTAGAACTATTGCGGATGCAAATGGAACTTGCCTCAAAACTTGCGGTGCCAAAAGTTGAAGTGCCAACTTTACAGAAACAAAAAAACGTCCTCAAAAAATTCTTTTAGCGTTATTTTTATTTTTTGTATTCTGCATTGTAAGCAGCCTGCAATGATTTTGATATATATTGATATATATATATTGATTTTAATATATATTGATAAATTATTTTAACTTTATAAAAAAGTTAATAATTTAAAGTTTATTAAAAAGTTAATAAGTTATATATATATATATATATATATATATATATATATATATAAAGTTAATGCATTTTAAAATAATTAGTTTAAGTTTAAAGTTAATTTATTTAAATTTATGTCTAAATTTAAATAATTTATTTAAATTAAATTAAAAATTATTACAAGTTTTTTTTTATTTTTATTATAACTTAAATAAAATATAAACCGATTCTCTCTTGTAAATATTATCTAAAACACGAAGTAAATACAATCTTTAAAAGCTAACTCGCAGTTATTTAGCGAGTAATGATTAATTTATATTATAGAATAATTTTGGGTAATTATTTAGTTTAGCGGACACACCTCCAATGACTTTGACCTTGACATATATGATAGAGGTCACTCTCCTGAGTGACCTTAAGAAGGTTTTAGCCGGCGGTCATTGTTTGTTAAAAAGTTATTAATAAAAGAAGTTGCATAAAATAGGTGTAATTTTTGGACATTGTATATACAAAAACATGGAATTTGTAGGTTAAGAAGGTGCTAGCCGTACGCACGCGCACACACACACACACATACACACAGCTCGCCAGCAAGCGCACTCGCTCGCCCGACAGGGCGGACTCGCAATGGATGCGTATGTCTTATTATACAGGGTGTCTCACTCTCTTCCGGGAATTTTGTCGGGACGTAGAACAGGTTGAGGTAAACATAAAAGTCCTATACCGTTTTGCGATATTCGCAATAATTATCGAGATATTAATTGTAGAAAACTTGTAAATGATCATGGTAAATGAGAATATGGTAAATGAGTTATAGTAGCGATGACTGCTGTCGTGTACTTATACTTTAGGTCAAATTGAACAAAAAAGTCTTCCATTTTCCAAATAATCACATAGATTTTTAATTATTAATCAAAGAAGATGAGTGCATTATCACGCAAAATCGTGCAATAATCTTCTTTAATTAATAATTAAAAATCTATGTGATTATTTGCAAAATGGTAGAAGATTTTTTTGTTCAATTTGACCTAAAGTGGCAGTCATCGCTATTATAACTCATTTACCATATCCTGCATGATCATTCACAAATTTTCTACAATATTTCGATAATTATTGCGAATATCACAAAACGGTATAGGACTTTTATGTTTACCTCAACCTGTTCTATGTCTCCACGAAATGCCCGGAGAAGAATGTGAGACACCCTGTATATACAAACTTTTTAACAAACAATGACCGCCGGCTAAAACCTTCAGAAGGTCACTCAGGAGGGTGACTTCTACAATATATGTCAAGGTCATTGGAGGTGGGTCCGCTATATTAAATAATTGCCTAATTTTATTTAAACGAGGCTTATTTAAACTATTCTTGATTTTAAACTATTATATGATAATAAAACCTTCAATATCCATTCCTAAATTAATCAGAAGTTAAATTAACGCATTAATTTCTTTTTAAAATTAAGAAAATATTAAGAATGAGAGTATTGAGTTTTTATTAATATCTAACGATTGGAATTCCATGATAGTTTGACGAAAAAGACAGTTTCGCTATGTATGTCTCACAATCTAGAGGATAATCTGGCACGTACGTCATCACTCGTTTACACAACAAAATCTTCCCGTAATGTAAATTAATAATTATTCGCACTAAATAATCTTAAATTAGTGGTTCTTAAAACAGTGTTTTCTTTGTATTTTTAACTTTACTTTTAAGTAATTAATTAATCATTACCCAACCCTAGAAATATCTGACAAATTTGTAACAATTTGTACTGATCTCTCGTGACAGATTGGTGCGTCATATATGTATGACATTGCTAACAAACAAATTAATAATTTACTGTCACAGTGACATTATGGAACTTTGTACGTGTGTTCTTGTGGTACTATTTTTAAATCAATTTCTTATTTTAATACTTTGACAACTGTTGTCACGTATATACTACTTCATTATGTCAACAATTGTCGTCTTGTAAAAAGTATTTATCAATAATGAATCTATTAATCGTAATATCATAGAGGCTAATATAAAGATAGATTTAGATAAAGATAGAAGATGTTCCTCTCTTTCTTTATGCATGATTTAGATGAGCTCTCAAAATCTGCCAGCAAAATGTTTCCCCGATCAAATAACCAGACATGTTTGGTTAGTCTACTAAAATCTTATCTAACATTTTGTCTAACATCTTGTCTAACATCTTGTTAACTTAAACAGAATTCGGGTTACTTCAATTGGACTTTCTGGATCGTTTATATGCGACCAGATATTTGGTTAATTCAACCAAATCTTTTTTTCCATGTGGAAAGATAATCTATTTGAAGACACGACATTACTTGAAAACCACATGATGCTCAACATATTGACTGTCAAATACGAGTTGCTTCATAAGTGGTGGCGAAAGGAATTCTTTGTTCTATACGCCAACTATAAGTTAACTAAATAGGCTCTCTGTCTCACACACACACTCACTCATTCATTCACTCACTTACTCATTCCCTCCTTCCCTTCCCATCTTTCTCTTACTGAATAATAAATACAGTTAATTTGCATATTAACACTTTAACCGCAGACTAATAACCAGACTGTCTGGTTAAATAACCAGTTTGGTTAGTCTACCAAAAATCTTGTTGACTTAAACAGAATTCGGGTTACTTCGATTCGGGACTTTCTGGATCGTTCATATTCGACTAGATATTTGGTTAATTCAACCAAATCTTTTTTTTCCATACAGGATTATTAGTTATTAATAACAAAAAGCTATAATATCCTCTCCGCGTAATATTGGCGACTACGGGTAATATTGGCTACCATGTACGGATAATCTAAGTTAAGTATGTACACTGAGAGAAGAATTTAGTAAATATTATCAAAATTTGGTTATTATTACTAAATGGTAGACGTAAATATAGCGGGCCAAAGCTATGGCAATACTTATTAATTAATTTAGTTCTGTAAAATAAATTATTTATTTGACAGAAGTAAATAACTATTTACCAAATATATTTTGGAATCAAATAAATTTTACTTCTGTCAAATAAATAATTTATTTTACAGAACTAAATTAATTAATAAGTATTGCCATAGCTTTGGCCCGCTATATTTACGTCTACCATTTAGTAATAATAACCAAATTTTGATAATATTTACTAAATTCTTCTCTCAGTGTACATACTTAACTTAGATTATCCGTACATGGTAGCCAATATTACCCGTAGTCGCCAATATTACGCGGAGAGGATATTATAGCTTTTTGTTATCCGTTGTTCTTCTATCTTATCGTAAGTCATATTCAAAGATCGTGGGACTTACCTCGACACCGGTCACTCCTAAGGCCGCTTTGATGTTCGGTGTCATGCGGAATGGCACTTTCTCTGGGACACGCAGAGTCTTCCCTTTTTCGAAGCAGACGTTGTAATCGATATGCACAACCTCACCGGTGTTGAGATCAACGAGAACGTTATCCAAGTGCCTGTCACCAAGACCGATGATGTAGCCGATGATGGACATTACCGCGACGGAGTACGAATAATTCTTGGTGGCTTGCCACCAACTGCCAGCGTTGATGCTGTTGCACCAGATTTCCCTGCAATGTAAGATGGGGATAAGTATCTGAAGACCCGATTCATATCTCGAAGACATACTGACAATCATTGTTAGGCAAGATTTCATTAATAATTGTTAATGTCTACACTGAGAGAAAAGACTGGTAACTATAACAAACTGCATTTAGTTACAGAAATTCGTTGAATCCTTAGTAACTAATACTAAATATGATAATAATTGCCAAATATTTAATAGATTGGGAGTATGATGTAATTGCATGCACAGTAATATCAATTAAATAATTTAGTAATAGTTATTTAATGTTAAATATTTAATATGAAATATATTACAGTTATGAACAGATATTTGATAATTGTTATGAAATTGTTATATCCCATGTAATAAAAAATTCAGTAGGTACGAGTTCTATGTACCAGTATAAGTATGTTTTGTTGCAGCACAACGAAAAATTCATTCATTTGCAGCTATTACATCGTTTCAATATCTATTATTATAGATGGTTGGTTGAACCTACCAAAAGTTTTGTAACTATTACAAAATCACTTATTTTGCTCAACTATTCAATAAGTTTTATTTACCAAATATATTTTGGAATCAAATAAATTTTACTTCTGTCAAATAAATAATTAATTTTACAGAACTAAATTAATTAATAAATATTGCCATAGCTTTGGCCCGCTATATTTACGTCTACCATTTAGTAATAATAACCAAATTTTGATAATATTTACTAAATTCTTCTCTCAGTGTACATACTTAACTTAGATTATCCGTACATGATAACCAATATTACCCGTAGTCTACGCGCAGAGGATATTATAGCTTTTTGTTCATATAAATTCTTTCCAATTTCATCATGTTTTCTAATAATGTAGGAATAGACAGACTTTCATCATTGTCCTGACATGAGAGAATAGAAAGTTTATAATTCTCTTAAATTATATTTACTTGGAGCAAATATATATTATATTGCATTAATTGTTAAATTCATTAAATTTCATTAATCATCAAATCAATTATCAATTCATTAACAATAAATTCATTAATCATTAAATAATAAATACAATCATCATACAATAATGCAAATTTTTTGTTATATTAATGTAAACAAATTTAGTAAAAGTTGCTCTTTCATTGTGTGTTTTACATAAAATATTGTAAATTGTGATGATTTTTTTTGTGTATTTTTTCGCGCGTATTCTATTCTATATACAATAAAATTATTTTATATGATAAATATGAATAGAATTCTGTATGATTCTATATGACAGAATCTATATGATAGAATCATTCTATATGATTGTGCCAATACGAGTCACTCATAGAAGATACAATCTTTAGACATCGACTAATAAAATTGCCGTCAAATTTATGTACACTTGTCTATCTGGATAGATTTCAATTCCTAAAATATAAATAAAATATAAAGCACGTATAAAACGGAAATAATAAATAAAGACTGAATGCTAACATAAGTATTCTTCAACTACAAAATTTTATAACAATTAACTTACAAATTAACTTAAAAATTGTACAAAATTCTCTACATGTACGTTTACATGAACAGCATAAAACCGGCTTGATATGGTTTGATACTAGCTTGATTGACTAATATAATCATTGATATTATATGTCACATAAACAATTATGTTGCAGTTATACGATATGTAATACCAGTACTTACAATATCAAAAATTAATAAATTGGTTTTATGCTTGTCATATATACAGGGTAGGGAAAAAAGGTCGGTACCCCTGAATAACTCGGAAAATACAAGTTTTATAGAAAAATGTTTCAGACAAAAGTTGTAAGGTTTAAAAAGATGCATTCAATGGTAATATTTATTTAACCTTGGGTGGCGCCGCCAAGGTCAGATCGAGGTCAACTTTGCTTTTTTAAATAGAAATATGTATTTGTGAAGAGTTAAAAACTGCGTGTCTTATGATTTCTATGTAAAAAATTAAAAAAAAAATTTCTTTAATTCATACCTACAAACTACCAAAAGCCTTTAAGGAACACTGTTATTAGGTGTACAACTTTGCTTCCGCCGTTTTTTTTCCGAAATCCGAAGCTTTATTGTAAAAAACTGGTTATACATTTATGATTCAAAGTATTGTCCATCGCTGGCCACTACTTTCTCCCATTTTTCGGGCAGCGTACGAATCCCACGTCGAAAAAACTGGTCATCTTTTGAGGCGATCCACGAATCGATCCAATTTTTTACTTCTTCATAAGACCGGAAGTGCTGGTCAGCCAGGCCGTGTACCATTGATCGAAACAAGTGATAGTCAGAGGGAGCAACGTCTGGAGAATACGGCGGGTGGGGTAGGACTTCCCATTTCAACGTTTCCAAATATGTCTTGACCACTTTCGCAACATGGGGTCGAGCATTGTCATGCTGCAAAATCACTATCATGTCTCTCGTTCTATTGCGGCCGTTTGTCTTTCAATGCTCGGCTCAAATGCATCAATTGCGTTCGATACCGATCGCCTGTGATTGTTTCAGTCGGTTTTAACAGCTCATAATACACTACGCCGAGCTGGTCCCACCAAATACAGAGCATGACCTTGGAGCCGTGAATATTCGGTTTGGCCGTCGACGTGGAAGCATGGCCGGGAACTCCCCATGATTTTCTGCGCTTGGGGTTATCGTAATGAACCCATTTTTCGTCCCCAGTCACAATGCGATGCAGAAATCCCTTCCGTCTTTGCCTTTCAAGCAGCTGTTCACAAGCAAACAAACGCCGTTCAACATCTCTCGGCTTCAATTCGTACGGCACCCAATTTCTTTGCTTCTAAATCATTCCCATGGCTTTGAGGCGTTTTGAAATGGCTTGTTGAGTCACTCCCAATGATCGTGCCAATTCTTCTTGATTTTGACACGAGTCTTGATCAAGTAATGCCTCCAATTCTGCATCTTCGAAAACCTTCTCTCTTCCACCGCTATGCCGGTCTTCGACGTCAAAATCACCGTTCTTGAAGCGTTGAAACCACTCACGACACGTTCTTTCACTAATAGCGGCCTCACCATAAGTATTTGGGAGCATTCGATGAGCCTCAGCCGCAGATTTCTTCATAATGAAGCAGAAAATTAAAACCTCCCGCAAATAACGAGAATTTGACTCGTAAATTGACATTTTTAATCGAGAATAACTTTATGATGCAGACACAAATCGACTAATGTTTCTATGGGGTTATGTTGACAGATGCCCAAGTTTATTGTATGACGTCTATGATCTATTTATTTCGACCACCACTTACCGCTAAAGCCATTTATAGGAAAACGGCGGAAGCAAAGTTGTACACCTAATAATTTTGCTAATAAACATAAATTTTTCGACAATAGATTTCAGCTCCTAAAATATAAGTGGCACACACGAAACGAAAGAATAATACTCACTTAGCTAATAGATCCTTTGGTGTTTCGTTCATCAGCTCAGCTAGTACTTGCTTCAGCACCTGAATGGGCCACTCCTTACGGTTCTCCAGACTTATCCCACGCTCCTTCAGTAACGGTGTGAGCTTGTTGTAGAACAATTCAGACGGTCGCATGATGGCCGAATTGCCGGTCTTGTTGGTCATGGCGCACTCGCGCTGCTGCCAACGTTTGTAGAGTATGAATAACGGTGTGACACCGTCGACCCACTGAATGAGGCCGGATCGAGGACCGAGAGGTATCACAGAATAATGCCGCGCTCTATAGGCCTTTTTCGTCTCGCTGTTCTTCGACATCATGGTGTTGCATATGCTCAGGAACTGCATTATTCTCTCGTCCAAGTGCAAATCCTCCAAACCCTTAAACAGGTATGTGTAAACGTGACCGTCGGAGCCGTGGAATATCAGCTTCTTCGGCTTCGTCTTCGTTGGCAGAATTTGAACATTGTTGTTCACTGACATGATCGTGACGACCTTGTTGTCGATGGCGGCGACGCCCGGCATGGCGATACAGGTGTCTTTCAGATTTGCCAGGATAGGACTGATGTCGGTCATCAATAAGGAGTAAGCGGCCCGTCGGTGCACACGTTGCGCCAGCTTCGCCTCCAGATGCTTGAGTGGCACACTGGCCAACTGAGGCTTCGCCGGGTTCTTGGGGTTGTTCAGTCGATTGATCACATCCTCGATAGTGACGCCGAACTTCTCTTGAAAGTTTTTCTCATGCGGCGTTTCGGCAGGCACGGACGTCATAGAGAGTAGATTCTCGAGGATGAAAGTAATCGGCTTCAAGATGATCCTGTGCTTCTCTGCAATCAGCTTGTCCTTCTCCTCGGTTGTGAGCCAGACGTTGTCCTGGACGCGTTGAATCTCAACCTCTAATTGCTCGAATCGCTTCGTGATCTCGGTATGATGCTGGCACAAAGTCGCCAGCCACAGTTCGTCCCACAGAAGCGTGATTCTCCTGAGCTCCTTCACCAACACCTTCACCTGAACCACAGAGTCTTGGATACGACTCGAGAGACAGTCGACCAGCTGCGAGAAACAGGAGTCCATGAAGCTCTCATGTTCGTCATTGTACGCGGTGTCCTCTTCGTTGTAGTCCAGGTCGTTCTGCGAATTGTCATTGTCGGATTTCTCGTAGATGACCTTATCATAGGCCTTCTTCTCGCGGCCTGACACTGCGCCGACCACGGCCGGGAACGTGATGAGATGCGGCGAATTCTCCGCTACTCGACACAACAGCTCCGACACTTGAGTTCTCACATATGCCTCGGGGTGGCTGAGCCTCGAGAATAACTGTGGTATGATCTGTTTCCACGGAGCGGTCGGGGTGGTCGAAAGACCGGCTTCCAGCACATTCTGCAGTTCCAAAGCATGCTTGACGACAAGTCGCAGCAGCCGTAACGTCGCCGTGATGGTGTCGCACTCGTTGCTCTCGTTGTTCGCCAATTGCAAGTACTTAAAGTACGCGTTCGCGGAAAGTTCGTAATACGAATAGATTCTCTTTTGCGCTTGCCTCCAGATGTCGACCAACATGGCGAGGTGTTCATTAGCGGCGCGATTCAGCACCGGCACGTTCCGCAATTGATTCTCTATCATGTCGGACGTATTGATATCATTGGTGTCGATGTCACCTTCGTCTTCGGGTATAGTCTTGTTCTGGCTCAATATGGAGAAGATAGTATTGAGATCAGCTTCGACAATGTCCACCGGTAACAGGGACTGTATTTTCAATCTGTCAGTGTCGGTCAGCTGACCTGAATTCGAGTTGTCCACGATTTTGCGGCCCCATTTGTAGCACCAAGCGGCGAAGCTGGACCAAGCGAGCGGCAGATCCGGACATTGGTTCACGCCCAACTGCATAAGTTTGCCAATTATCATATCCGACGTTGGAATAAGATCGACGGTGTCACCGAATAGCTTATTCATCAGACCGTCATTGTGCACAGCCTCAAAGCGAAGGAGCTCTTCCAGCTGGGGATTGTCGCTCACGTTGATGTCCTGCTGTATCCACTTGCCGAGAGTGAGCAACAGTTTGGTGCCTGTTTCCCGTAGATCGGCGGACTGTTCGCCGCTGACGATAGCCTGTGAAATCCCCAACGAGGTCACGCAGCACATCTTCAAGGCCTCGCTCGTGTTCTCCATGTCGTACAACAGCTTGGAGAACTCTCGGAAAGCGCGCATACTATTCTTCGTCCATTTTACGCGGCTCGCCTCGTTCAGTACGCAGCTCGTGATCTCGGCAAAGTTGCAGGTGTTAGAATTTTTCACTTGGAACAGATCCTGCACCATTTTGACGTACTTCACCATCTCCCGTTTCGCCAACTGAAAGTTACCTTCTTTCCTGGCGGTTCTGATCACGTGCAATCGCAGACTATCCACCTCCGAGGTGCCGTTGTCGCATGATTGATTGAAGTACTCCGACCACCATAGGACCTGTGTCAGGACGTTCGAGGCAATGTCGTTTATCTTGTCGGCTTTGTACAATGCAAAGATATTGTCGTTTTTGCCGCTTAACAGATTCTTCAGTCCCGTTGCGGAATATTGAAGCAATATAGCGTCACTTAAATATTCCGACGGCACGTTGCGCAAACCGTCCTGCATTGTCTTAGCCGCGACCTTCTGGCATCTCTCGATCTCGCTCTCAAGCGAGACCTTGAACTCGTTCCCGCGAATCTGCAGCGCAGCGTTGGTTAAGCTGTTGCTACATTCAACCAACGTTCTCGCGCAACTCCAGTTGCTCTTCTTCTCGTCCAACAGATTCCAATTCGTCAGCTCGTCCAGAGAGATCAGCTCGCCTTCTTCGAACTTCTTCAGGCAACTCGCCTGCTGCAGCGTGATATTCTCCGTCAACTGCTTCTTTAACAGAACATCTTTCTCTTGAGTCAGCATGTCAGTCTCCTGCAGCTTCCAGGCTTCCAATCCGAACCAGTCGCTTGTAGCTTTGTAGCAGTTGGCAAGTCGTTGCATGCAAAAACTCAACACTTGATTGTCACTTTCATTCCTCGTAGACCTGGCCTCGTCATCTACTTTAGTTTGCACTTGGTCTTCAATGATTTGCTTATAGCTGTCCGCAGCAGACTCGTAGTGTCCGGCGGCCTCCTCCATGACTGCTTTCAGCCATGGGAATTTCCTGTCCTTCTCTTTGGTGTACACGTAGAGACCTTGCAACGCCTCCGCCTCGCCCAACGTCACCATCGCCTGAGCTGTCCACAGCGTCGCTCTTTCGAACTCAACGCCCTGAGTATTATCAGCATTACTCAGGTCCTCCAACAGACGTTGGCCGTTTCGCAATGCGCTCGTCGCCAAACCCGAATGCAACGAGACCACACACAGAGCCAGTCGTATGCGATTCAACCATTCCTTGCACGTTGATTTGTTGGTATGAAAGAAGGTTCTGACCGGCTTGGACAACGGCAGCAGCACCATTGCGCAACCGTCTGCGGCGTTGTGGATCACTCTCTCTAGGTGCTCGAGGAACTCGACGAGCAATCTCACGCGAGTTTGTTCGTGTAGGATATAATCCAAACCGTGTCTGTCCTTCTTGGTCACGTCCATGCTGCACGATATCTCGCGAGCTAGAACCTTCAAGGCACCTTCGATCGACGTGAATGTCTCTTGCGGCTTCCCCAGGTAAGTACGAAGCTTATTGACGACACAGTGCTGCGCCGCCTCAAAGCCGCTCCAAAAAAATAGAAACGAGCAATTCGCCAACGCCAAATGATACATTCGCACTATAGTCTCACTCTCTGATCTGTGGGGAAAAAAAAACTAACATAATCATCGTTTCTCGAAAGGACAATTCTGTGAGTGCGAGGAGATCACTTACACGGCTGGCCAGCTCAAGGTGAAGATTTCTGATAAACCGGATACGTCGAGATAGTGTTCTTGCAACAAGAACGTCATGTACGTTTTGAAATGTTGCGAGAGCAGCTCCCCGTTATTGTTACCTCGCATGTGCAGTCTCTGAGCGAGCACTAACGATTCCGTCGAGTATGTCTCGATTTCTCGTATTTTCTGTATTGTTTGAGGCAACGTTTCATTATTAATAAATGGTAATATGATGTTATAAATAGAATTGGGAGAGTTACTTTTAAAAGTAACTAGTTATCGTTACTTATTACTCATTAAAGAAAAAGTTCACTATCTCAAGTAAATAATTGTGAGACTCGTTCATAAAAATCAAATAATAATAATAATAAATAATAATAAAAAGCAGTAACAATCGATTGAAGATCTAATTTGCATATATTTAAAATATATTATATATACAAGTGCAATTAATAATTATATGTAATTATAATGTAAATTATAATTATGAATTACAAAAATATAATTTGTACCTACATGTGCGTATAATATATTATAAATATATGCAAATTAAAGCTGTAATCAGTGTTATTATCCTCTTTTGTTACTACATTATTTAACTTATTATCATTATTCATTTTGGAGAATAGTTCGTTACCATTATTCTCGTTTTGTTACTCAAGAAGTAACCAGTCGTTAAAATGTCCGTTACTTTTTCCACCAAATTTTGAAGACTTTTTTTCTACAATTTTTTCTACATGTTATCACATATCTTAAGTATAGTCAGTTACAAAATTTTAGTCATAATAGAATTAAAAATTTACTAAATTATCAAAATTGGGAGTCATTATGCAGAATACTCAATATATAATTAATCAATAAATATTAATAATTAATAATGAAACTACTTCACAAGTCTATAGAGGTAATGATTGCATTTAGTAGAGAAAGCTAATAAAGAAAGTTTTGTAATTGTTATCTTGGCTGAATTTAAGAACATATACGATCAGATTCACGAATTTTGCAACAGTTTCAAAGTAGCTTTCTCTACTGAACGCAGCCAATAATTCTTAATATTGAAAATTTGATAAAATTCAATATTATTGATAAATTTCAAAATCTTCATTGTGTCTCAACTGTTTTGCAGTTAACTGTACATGTATTCTACATGTGCAAAATAATAATAAAAGTAACGATTATACTCATTATTGTTATCGAAAAAAATATGATTGTGTTACTGTGAACGTTAGTAACGAAAAAATAACATGTAATTTCCCAATTTCAGTTATAAAATATATATAAATTTAAACAGGTGATTGTGATGCGATATATATTTAGACTGCCGATAAGTAATCAAGTATTTACAAGACTCTTGTTCTTATCAGTTTCTATCAGTTTCTACTTGAGCTATGTAGTATGTAAACAATACTGTCTTAATATGTTATTTGTAGATAAAGCTATTTGTGTGTCTTCCAATTAATTGATTAAAACATAAAAGCTCATCTAGACAATTTTATATGTTTTATTTTGAAATACTTAATTACTTATATTGGTATCCCTAATCGTGTTATATCATATTATGTACAAATGCGTATTATTTGCTACAAGCGGAAAATCACTCACTTTGGTGTCCGAGAATAAACATTCTCTGTTCAGCTTCTGTATAACAATGTTGATGGGCATACGCATTAGCAATGAGCTGTACTTCTCGCGAACCGCTTTGTCACACGACGTCAAATGCAACATCGCTAGGTCCACGATGCTCGAATATGTCTTTTGCTTCCATATAACGTTCTTCGCGGTCATCAGGATCTCGAAGAGATTGCATACCGCGCTGGAAATATCGTTGTTGGTCGTAGCGCCGCAATCGATTAGACTTGCGATTATGTTCTCACACTCCTGCGTCTTGCTCAAGATCCCGATGTAATTCTCGGACTGTATACAGATCTCTTGCATCCAATTGAACAGAAGTTGCAACGTCTGAACAGGTGTGTTTCTATTGTTTCTGTACGTTTTCGCTATCAGATTGAGAATGATGGATAAGTGACCACTAGTTGGTGACGTGGTTGGCACGTCCAAAGTACCAGGAAACATATCTATTTGACGGCAACCAGTAGTACCCATTATCAAGCTGGAGCTTGGAACAAAGTGATTATACCTGTAAAAAATTGATACAGAGAGTTTATATTTGCTGAGTACAATCATTAAAAATTTGGGATATAGAACGTAAGTTTTCACATTACCTGGAGCAGTGCGTATAAAGCAGATACAAGATGCTATGTTGCAAAAACGGATTGCTCGTAGACAACGTGGTGTCGTAGGGTCTCAGCTTGACCGCAAGAAGTTCCAGGATACTGGGCTTCAGCGCCCACATTCCGATAATCGAATTACTTGCATTAGCTGAAAGCATAGATAAAATGTTAGTTTAAGAGATAAAAATGTTGTTGTTAGCTATACATCGTAAATGCATTACAAATGTATTTGCTCACCTATGTCTGAGAGAGCGCGCAGTATGAACGTAACTATGATCACGACGTCGCTCTTCGCGTATCTTAAGTCGTTCAGCGGATTTTCCGCGACCAAACTGTCAATGTCCGGCAATATAAGCCGGTAAGCTATTTCCAGATCGGCTAGTATATAACGATAGGACTCCTGCAGTAATGGGATATTCTTCAGGCTGAGCAGACTGTGATATACACCAAGACTCGCGTTTTGAATGGAAATGGAATTCCGAAATCGTAACTTCAGCAGCATTGAATTCTTGCCGAGCAGTTTGTGCACCAGCTCCAACGGCAAATTCGCGGACACTTCCTTGATTATCTTGGATATGGTAGTCAACATCGAGATGATGGTCTCGTCCCAGAAGATGTCGACTCTCTGTAACTGCAGATCTATGAACTTATAGAGAAGTTCGTGATTCTTGGTAATGCGACTCTGAAGGTAACCAAGGAGCAAGAAAGCGCATTCGTTCGCGACTACGATCAACTCTTCCTTCTCCTCCGACAGCTCGTTGATTTGTCTAGTTTTCAGCTCCATCGACAGTAGCAAGTTCAATAGCAATTGTCCCTTCTCTTTAGACACGACGTCTTTCTCGGGAAGTATCGTCGAGTTTTTCTTATCATTTTTCTTATTTATCGTCAAAGCCTTGATCATCTTGATGAGATTTTCCTCGGTGATTTCGTCTTTGCTGAAATGCTTGGAAAGTATCTCGGTGTGTTGCTGCGACGAACTCACATTTTTCACGCGCTTAATCAAGCTCTCGATGTTGTCGGACACGCCCTTGGACCAGATGTCATTCTCTTCTTCCAGTTCGATCGCCTTAACGACAGTTTTCAGCATTTTTGACAGACAATCCGTTAGGAAAGACCATTGCACACTAGGTGTGATGTTCGGATTCAAGTGTTCGGATATGCTCTTTGTGACAGTGTTGAAAACAGAGATCAATGAGGTGATCCGTAGGATGCATTCTCTAGGCGTCGGGGTGCCGTCGTCACCGGGCGAGTTACGGCCAGACTCGGGTGAACTCAACTCCTCGTCGTAACTCTCCATGTCCTCCAAGAATTGGCCCAACAACGTCAATGTGAACTGCAGATCCGCTATCCAGAACGTACGTAACTTTTGCAAACATCGACTGGCGTAAGCGACAACCGACTTTTGCTGCGTGGAATCGATATGCCAACCCACGAGTATGTCCACGGTGTCACGGAAGTGGCTTGTGAACGTTGTCGGGTAAGTGTCTATGATAAGCAATATAGCATCTACTGTCGCCACTAGTAAATCTGGTCTGTCGACGTTTTCCAATATCGATTGCAACTGGGACATCATTGGCTGCGTAATGTACATATGCAGTTAATAAATATATAATTCACCGTTACGTTAATACAAAAAAGAGTTATTTATTAGGTTGGTGCAAAAGATTTGTCGTGTTCGTGAAATAAAATGAAAAATAAAATTATCTAATTTCGAAAGATTAATAACTTTTACGAATAAAATAAATATCAACTTGGTATTTCTTTAGACATTTAACAAAGACCTTCTACCTTCCTTTTAACACTCTTTTAACACTTTTTTAACACTTCCCACGAGAATTTAATAGACAAATCTTTTATATCAGTCTAATAATCTTCCATGATTCATAGAAATGATTTTCTATAGGAGCATAAAAATTAGGAACATAAAGATATGTTTCTTAGTTATTCAGAGATAAAGAATAAAAGAGGCGATGAAACTGATATAGTAAAATAATTTTCTAGTCAAAATAAACAAAATTGTCTAAAGAAATGAAGATAGAATTATCATTAAGACACAAGGATCAGATCAACAACAAATGTTATATGAGATATATTAAAAATTCATGTTTGGCATGAACTTTGGTTAATTGAACTTTTATTTTTTAAGGGAAGATTTAAGTTTAGATAATCAAAAAATAAGTTTTTACGAATTTTTTTCCAAAGAAACAGAGATATTAATATAGGATTTTGATATCATACTATTTATACTATTGTTTTAAGAATAAAAAATTTTTATTTAAAAAATTGAAATTTCGTTGTTTTTTTTATACTAAACGCGATATCGCTGGATGCCTCTATTAGTAAATAATATTATAGTTCGTGTAATTTAAAAGAAAACTTAAAAACTTTATTAAATTTATTGAAGAATAGACCTTTATTTATATTAAATTACCTAGGTTTATATTTTCAAATTACCTAGGTTTATATTTTCAAATTACCTAGGTTTATCTTCCAGTAAATTTAATTTTCAAATGTTTTTATCCCATTTGTTCCATATTATTACACGAGTTGTAATGCTGTAATACACTAGTTAGAGGCGTTTGACGATATTATACTTAGCATAAAAAACCTGGATAAAATTTCAATTTTTTACAATAATTTTTGTATACTTAGAACAATAATAAATAGAATATGACTAAAACCCTATATTGATATCTTCATTCATTAAAAAAAAATTAATAAGAAACTCTTATTTTCGATTATCTAAAAATCAGAATTTCTTTTTAATATGCTTACGTATAATAATATTTATGATTTCGGAAAAGCATTAATTCTGTTGGTCTGAAAGATCTTGAAGCAACTCAAGGAAGATTAAATGTCACTTACTGTGGCAAGTTCTTTCAATTTCGACGTCTCCGAATCCATCTTGAGTGTTTCGATAAGTGACTTCATTAGTAGACATTTCACATCATCTTTGTGTTCCAAAGAGTATTTGTTGAAGATCCAGTCCATGTAACTAGAATTGCGAACAAATTCTTTTAATTTTAGTTGGTCATTGAGTCGTGTGTGTATAAGTATGTAAAATAACAAAATATATCACTTGTACCAAGAAATTAGTCGATTAACATACCTCTTAAAATCTTGATCTACCACATATCCAATTCGACCCAAACATTTTGCAACTTGTTGCTTCGCTTCCTGACCAGGGCCTGAGTGCAGAATATCTAACAGACTGTCGCATATAAACTCTAAGTTCCGTCGTATATATCGTTGGTTTTCAGGTGCTGTGATACCTTCCTGTACTTGTTTGCAAAGCGCCATGAAGTGATCGTAATCATCTTCACGGCACAGTCGGCGCAAAAGTTTGGAAATTCTCGAATCCTCTGAAGAATAAAGCAAACAATTCCGTTAATATCAAAGTCGTGAAATTAAGCTCAAGAGACTACAAACGCCGGACTATTCGACATGTTTAGCTTACCATTTATTCTTTTATCATCGTAGTATTTGCCCTGTGAATTCTCTTGATTTTTCAACGATTCTTGAAACTTGGGTCTAGATGAAGAGAGATAGCCGGACTCTGAGTTTGAGTCGCGATCATTGAGAGTCTTCTTGAAGGCCCTCCCACCACGTACTCCACCTCTCGCACGGTCTGCATTGCTGCCACCACGTGCCATTCGAAATTCATTTCGTGATACACCGCTGAGTCTGTGGAAAATGTTCTTTGTATCATTTCTGTTGACTAACTGTATACAATCTGTATAGAATCTGGATGTTGCAGTTACAGTCAATAAGACAAAATAGAAAAAAAACCTTGGCTTAAATCTGGTATAGCCGTGATCTGATGAATAGTTGGAAGTTCGTTGACAAATAACCAGAGTGTTGCGTGGTACATTAAAATCATTCACACTGTAACCACTTATCACACTATTATCTTCTTTGTTTATCCCCCTTCCTTGATTTATAGACTCTTCTTGAGACTCAACGTACTTAGATCCACGTAGCCTCGTGCTAATATTAGAGTTCCCACAGCTATTCATTACATTACTGTGCAAGTGGTCTGCATGACCTACACTTTATGGATGTAACCTGTGGTTACCTAGAATTAAACAAGATGTTTATTTGTTATATCGAATGATAAATGTAACAAATGATACGATAAATAAAATAATAAAAAATTGGATTATTATCTAATTACAAAAGTAACAGTCATATATATATGGTAAAATTGTAACAAGTTGTGCATCATTATATGGTCAAAGTTCTTAATTATATCCAAATGTATGTGTTGCTTAATATTGAATCATCTAGAAGAATCTAGACAGTTTCATCAATAAGTACTATTTATTTTATTACAGGATTAAAGAACTACCGAAAATATATAAAAGTATTGATAAGACGCTGTGAAAACCAATCTATTAAATCATTAATTTCAATATCTCCTTTGTCTAGAAATTAAGTGAGGTTGTATGTACTTAATAGCCAACTTTTAATATCGAATTCGCCAAGGATCGTTAGAGTTGCAAGACCACATGGTGCACTGATCGTGACAAACAAAGAAGTATTCACGCGTCGCATCCTCGATAAACGATGTCGACGCACCTCGCGCGTAAACAGCATCTGTTGCTGATAACTTTACCCTCCTCCTCGTCCCCGAAATTCTTTGCAATAAACGCTTAGAGTATATCATTTCTCACCGATCTCGAACAAATTAGGAGTGAGTATGCAGCCAATTGTGAAGAACCTGATGCCGAACAACAAAATTGATCTTTCGTTGCGCCTTTTGTGAATCGCAGTAACTCCAAAATGCGAATTCAGAGGTTATGAGACGAATATATCCACAGTAGGTTGGATTTCTATCCCTCTATCGGCGTGTATGGTACCGTGTAACGTTTCTAGGGAATTTCGGTGTTCAAGAATGTGGATTACGGAATTTTCATATTCCAGGGAGTCGATTGTGTATCTCAAATCGGAGTGAAAATGACAAAAGTGAACAAATTTACTAGCATATTTGTAACTTCATTAGACAATGTCTAGTGAATTTGCTCACTTATGATTTTCACTCCGTTTCGAGATACACAATCGACCCCCAGGTTTGTTCGCGTCGCATGCCCCAAGTAACACGTGTCGTTTAAGAAACGTTTTTGATATATTTTACAAACGATAATAAAATGTTATATACGTTTATAAAACATATATAAAACCAACATGTGTTACCCTTTGTTGTTCGTGAGACGAATTCTTGATCTGGTCCTGTGTTCATAAAACTGTAAGAGCAGAAGCAAAAGCAGACTATAGAATATTACAGTTAAGCCCTATGCACAATGCCAAATGGCAACAGGCAATAGAAATAGACATTAGCTAATAGGAACAGGGAGTAGAAATAATTGACCAATCTGATTTCCTATTCCCTGTTCCTATTGCCTGTTGGCGGGAGCGGTGCACTTGGACACGGTGCATTTGGACACAGCCAATCACAGCACCGTGTGATTAGAGACATTTGTAGGGTCCCTTGGAACAGCGACTTGTAATTGGACTGTGTCCAATTGCCCCGTGTCCAACTGATATACACCCCCTGTTGCCTGGCATTGTGTATAGAGAGTTATAGATAAAAGATTATACCAGTATTGCCGCGGCTATAAACATTTATTCACCCTATTTCTGCTTCAAAAATCACCAGACTACAATTTTTTCACTAGATATTTTAAATGTATATAAATTCGAATAAAAAAACAATTTTAATAATTTTTAATATTTTAATAAACATATTTAAACATAAATATAAATAAAATTAATATAATATATTTAAAAATTTATAAAAATATGAAAACATACTTGTAAATAGAGAGAAAGAGAAAGAGAGAAAGAGAGGGAAAAACTTATTTTGTAATTATTTTTAGAGTATTGTAAATTGTTACTAATGGCAAATTCGATTGAATGCACTAGTGCGCAGTGAGTGTACACTAAACATGTTTATAATTCGTTTCTATACTTAATAGATTGACTGCGTTCAACAAAAGACGCAACTGTGCATAGTGAGATTCTTCAATAGGATTAGTTTATACCAATATTTAGATCCACTGAGAAAGTAAAAATAAGATCAATCATATTAAAGAATTTTACAATTGTGAAATTGCTTTGATTGCGTTCAAAAACATCACTCATGTGCTCTTATATATCATCTTACCCTTGTTTAATATTCGATGAACAATAAGGATAAAATGATATGTGGCACTACTTGGGTAATGTTTCCATTTTATCACCAAATAAAAAAGTTATTCACCAAATCACCAAAAAACCTTAAAAATCCCCACAAAATCACTAACAACGTTAACCCTGGATTATACTATTCTCTCGGATTCAGATCTCACTCGCTCTACTCTCGTTATCGTAAGCACTTATAAGCTGCGTTCAGCGAAAAAAGCGCTCAGTGAGCAATCAGCGATTATTGGTTCTTAAGTCCGGTTTATGATAGCTGTAATCCGTTAATTTATGCCGGAACTGTAAAAAATTGACCAATCATAGTCAAATTATAGAAGAATAATCGACTGTGATTGGTCAATTTTTTATAGTTCCAGCATAAGTTAACGGATTACGGCTAACATAAACCGGCCTTTAAGCCCGTACCAGACTATAGATTAGAGCTGTTTACGATAATTCGAGTTGGAGTAAGTACGAGTTAGTTCCACTAAGGCCAAGAAATATGATAGACACAAGCATCTAGTATTTTCATGATTTATGACAACTCAATGCTGTCCAATAAATCGAGTAGAGTTAGGGCTATCGCACACAAATTGACATAACTGCATATGCATAGCATAAGATCGTATGGACCAATGAGCATCGAATATTAAGCATCGAACACCAATATGACGACTTAAGGTGCCAATACATGGGAGTGTTCCAACGTCGAGCGTTAAAGCGTTAGCCAATCAACGTATCAGGTCCCAGAAGTATATTTGTAGTTCTTGCGAGAAATGGCACGTTGATTGGCTACCGCTTTAACGCTCGACGCTCGATGTAAAGGTACCTTTAGGATAATATAGCGGATAGTATATGTATAAGAATTAACAGTATCAGGTAACATAGTTTCGTAAAATATGTAACAATAATATTACGAAACAATGATTTATTACATTTTAGAAAAATTAGAAGCACTAAATTAAATTATGAAAAGATATCATGTATTTGTGAAATATTCAATAATAATAGGTTAATAATAGGTTAGAATAATTGTTTTCTACTAGATATTTCACAAATATATAATACCTTTTCATAATTTAATTTAGTGCTTCTAATTTTTCTAAAATGTAACAATCTTTGACTATATAATCATGGACTGCTAGCGGCGATTCTAAGCGTCTGTCAACATCTGTAGCGCCGCCAGAACCAAACAACGGCAAAAGAAGGAACTCAGTAAAGCAAAACAGAGTTAGCAACATAAACGCTTCTAATATCCGCGTATCACATGGTGATACGTATTGGAAAGCATAGGGCTATCGCACACAAATTGACATAACTGCATATGCATAGCATAAGACCGTATGTACCAATGAGCATCGAGTATTAAGTCGCCATATTGGTGTTCGATGCTTAATATTCGATGCTCATTGGTCCATACGATCTTATGCTATGCATATGCAGTTATGTCAATTTGTGTGCGATAGCCCATAAGTTGCGTTCTGTTTCACGCATTATGCGCGCATTGCCTACAATATACGTAACATGAACTATAGATAAATGCGCGCATATGCGTGAAACGGAACGCGGCCATAATAGTATAGGCTGCGTTCCGAAATTCACTGCCAGTACTGAAATTCTATAGTATATGACATGAACTATAGATTTTCAGTACTGGAAGTGAATTTCGGAACGCAGCCAAAGTAGAAGTAATAAAAAAAATTAAACTTTCTTGAAAACCACAAATACTTTATAACAAAATTAATTATAGAAAATTATGTTAAAATTGTTATGAATTATGAGAGAAATTAATAAGCCAAAAATGTCAATATACCCACACAGAACAAAACTTCCATTATGACTCCTGCACACAGGACGCGGTAATGTTTGCCGCGCGGCGAAAGTTCGCGCGACAGCCAATCAATATGCTGCTTTCCGTAATAACCTTCTTGCGCTACGGAAAAACAACATATTGATTGGCTGTCGCGTGGACTTCCGCCGCGCGGCCAGCATTACCGCGTCCTGTGTGCAGGAGCCATTAGACGTCTATAGATCATCCATAGCTCCATCAGATCATCCATCCATCTCCACGGTAGACGTCAAGTGGATCTCTAATGGATATCCATAATTCATCGATGATGGATATCCATATAACATCTATCATGGACATCCATTGTACATCTTGTTACGTCCACGATAGATAACTATATAGGGAAATTTGAAAGTAGTGAAATCAGTGACTTACGTGGACGGTCAACAGAGTGATGGCTCCGCTTTTGGGTCACTCTGCTTTTCACCGAGTTTACCCTGGGTCTCGAGAGCCTGGCGAAACGATTGATGAATCTGGCGAAAAATCAGCGGTGCTTGTTCTCCTGGCTCGGCCTCGGATGTTCCGATACCACGCGGGTTGATGCGGCCCGCGATTCAGAATTTGATTTAGCAACGTTTGAAATATGAAGGGTAGGCAAAAGTAATTGCAACACAGTCGGATTTTACGACTAAGTATAATATGCTGAATAAGTACATGAAGCTACCAGAGACTAACTATGAGAAGAAAATAATTATTGCCTTCTCTACAAATGCGCGCGCTTTTATATGTCGCTTTGTCGCTGAGAGTCGTTCTCCGATTGGTCCATGGAGTTATGGCGAGGGAAGAGATTCATTCCTTTGCATGATGTCACCGCGTCGGTGTCCTGAGTGGTGTTTGGGATTCAGTTTTCATGCTCCTGTTTATGTTGGCTTATCGCACTGAGCGATAGCGGTTTCTTTGGGTCGATCCGTCGATTTCGAGACTCTCCAGCAGCACGCAGCATTCGGCATTTTAATTATAATGTTTTAACGCTCGCGAATATGCATATGCGCACGTACTTACATCTAGTAACGTAGGGATAAAATATCTAGTGATGTCTGAAATCAGACAAGTCGGCCTCCCGGTCTATAATAATATATTATTAATGTTCTAAAATAGATCCGGACGTTACAACAGAATGTTTAGAATCGCCGCTAGCGGTCCATGGTTATATAGTCAAAGGTGCTCTCCGCTTAAGTCTGTTCTTTTCAGCTGCATTGGTGCAATAAGTTAAAGTGAGATAAAATATATTTGTCTCAAACTTATTACACTAGTACAGCTGAAAAGAACAGACTATATTTCTATGGCCGGTATTCATAGTCAAATCTTATTTCAAGACCGTCTTAAGTAATGTCTTAATATGCGAATACGGCTCTGTGATTGATTAATGTCGTCTTAAAACAATACTTAAGATGATTTTAAATATAAGATCGAACTATGAATATTGGCCTATATATTTATAATTACTTCTCATTGCAATGTAGAAAAATTATTTAATATTTATATCGTTATATTTACGATAAAGTATGTTATTATTGCGTTATATACATATCGCGTGTGTTGTACTTAAATATTATAATACAATCCAATATCACATGAATTTAACATCTTTGACGTTAAATTGCTGTTGAAATATAAGATAAAAATTAGATACAAGTGTATACATATGTGTGTGTGTGTGTGTAGGAGACATTGAATATCAGCACACACCATAGAGCTTTTTACCTGAACTAGTGTTGCACTGGAACTTCGTTTCTTTTTTTTCTTCCAATGATAAATTATATACTAATTTCTCTCTAAAAGCAAAAAATACAACCTAGTAATACAGCTAAAAAAAAAAACAAACCTCATGTGTACAATTCCTATTATTTTATAAATCACTCCACCGATTCTTAATAAATATATTTTTATATAATTTAATGAACCTAACCTTACTTTTTGAAATCTTATCAGAGTCTAAATCCTTTATCACAAATTTGCACGCGTCAAATATTATAAATACATATCATGTATCAGAATGTATTATTAAAATCGTCTGCTATAAAACTCTTCTATGCATCAGCCACCTATCACTAGAGATAAACGAAAATATTATGTGACAGAGCGCGCTGAAACGCGCACATGCGCGCGCAAGTGTATATAATTGAAATTTTATAGAGGACTATGAGCTGCGATGAAATTGAATAATTTACGTTTCCAACGAAGTTAAGTTTGCCTGTTCAGAAGTTGATCAATTTGAGTTTTGTACATCTCCTTGATGTCTTCGAGATCTAGTCGCAATTCCTGATTCTCTTCCACTTTTTCGCCGTACATTTGCAGTAGCGCGTCGTATCTCGTTTGCGTTTCGCTAAGGCTTTCGTTAAGTGCCTGTACTTCCTGAACTTTGTTGCTTAAGTCTTCGACCTTTAGAGTAAGCGTTGCTAATTCCGAATTCAATGCATCCCTCTCTATGTTCCGTCGCGACAACTCCCATTGAAGCTGTTGTACTTCACCTGTAGCAGCAAAATGCGATTCGTGTACAGAGAACAACATCACGACAATATCAGTGATATTTTTCTATTGTTAAGAAAAGCGATTATTTCGTTTACTTTCTTTCTTTTAAGACTTCAGGCCCCTCGCATTGTCTATCTCTTTTTAATGACGTCAGAAGTGAGAAAATATTAAAAATTCTTGCAAAATATGGTAAAATAAAAATATATATCCATAAAGTAACATTTGCAAACGATTAAACAAATTTGTAAAATATTCCGTGCACTCTCCTTTTGTTCTAACAATCAATAATTTGTCGTAAATTAACGTAACATACAATTCATCTTAACCTATTTCTTCGCCTATTTCTATTCAGGTTAATTTACAATAAATTATTGATTGTTAGAGCAAAAGGGAAGTGCACGGAATATTTTACAAATTTATTTAATCGATTGCAAATGTTACTTTATAGATATATATATTTTCATTTTAACATATTTTGTAAGAATTTTTAGCATGCATTTTCTCGTTTTCGTCATCAAAAAGAGATAGATAATGCGACAGGCCAAAAGCCTTAATTGAAGTCTAATTATCTTGCTATAAAACTACGATGTTTGTCGGTTATATCGGCATTAACAGTTTCTCTTAAAATTTGGTCAACAAATCGAGGTAAATGAACGGAAGTTACTTTAATGACCTATAATTAGAACCATTACACATACACATACACATACACATACACACACACACACACACACACACACACACACACATTCCATGTTAAAAATTTAAACATTTAAATAATTTATTAATGCAAGTAGACATTCAGAATAAATGTTCAGGAATGTTAGATACGTGTTCGGAAATTATACTTTTAGCTTAAACTTATAAAAATATTTGAAACAAGCAATATTTACTTGAATGCAGTATGTAATTTCCTGAACGTGGTTAATGATATTGACCGATTTATAGGAGCGTGATTACCACTGACTATAAATATATGACAATTCATGGAAACTTACCGTCCCTTTGTTTCAGTTGTGCTTGTAAATTTTCGAAAATAGACGTACTGCTCGAACCTGCTCTGATGCCTTCGTACGTCATCGGAGGGAATCTTCCGGAGCTATTATCAAACACCGAGTCGCTAAACTGAAGAGAAAGGGAAATAATAAGTTTGTATTTTAGTATATTTACGTATCGATCAATGTCGATTGATGGTGTGGCAAATATTTGTATACATACAGCTGGCCAAATGCTATTTACACTACTGACAGATTCTTGTCCTATGCTGAGAGTAGGACTAAATCGTGATTCCTCGTCAGTATTCTGTTGCTGTTCCAGTATCGCATTATTTTTTCTTCGTTCTGCATCGGTCGCCGCTTTCTCAATGGCTAACTTGTTCTCTAATGCATTTATTTCTCTCTTCAGTTCCTGTACCTGATTAGAGTGCGTCTGTTCAAGAGTGCTTATCGTGGTTTGGTGTCTGCAATTTCAATGTGAGATAATTTTTGATGATCTATTATATTATTGTGCTTCGGTTTATTTATATACTTCTCGAGATATTTACTGTTTGTTTTGCTCCAACAGTCTTTCGTTCTGCTCGGTCAATTTATCGTGCGATTCCCGCAATCTCACCTTCTCCTTCTCTTTTATATTAAGCTTCGATTCCAAATGCGATTCCTTGGATTTCAAGTTGACGTTTTCTTCCCTCAAGAGACGATCCATTTCGATTAAATTCTCAATTTTCGACTGCAACTCGATGTTTTTATCTGACAGAATCTTCTCCTGCTTCATGAAACTATTGGATTTATGTGACAGGTTCGCTTGGAGCTGTTCTAGTTGTCTCAGCAGCGGTTTCGTCGTTACCGAGACAGATTCAGACAGTTCTTCGCTCCTAGCTTCCGCGGCTTCGAGTCGCTTAAGTAATTCGCTGTTCTCGTGTTTAAGAAATTCTTCTCTTCTGCAGTGCAAACAAAATTAATATTATTAATAAAAAAATTAACTATAACCTTTAATATTTTATTAAATTTAAGATTGGGATAGTTATTTTAGAAATAACTCGTTGTCGTATTACTAATTACTAATTACTCATTAAAGAAAAAAGTAACTCTTTATCATTATTGTTACTCATTTTGAAAGATAACTCGTTATCCTTCTTCAAGAAATAACAAGTCCTTATAATTTCCGTCTCTCACATAAGTTTTAAAGATTTTTCTTTTTACGATTCTCTGTCGCTATATTTCATACATGTAAAACAACTATACAAAATAACTATTATATAGTTATATATATACTAAAAAAATGTGACTGCGTTACCGTTAGCTTTACTAATTAGAAAAACGTTATCAAATCGTTAGGAGTAACTTATAAGAGTAACGACGTTACAAGTAACGTGTTACTTCTCAACTTTGTTTTTAATATTTAATATATACGATACTTACTTGACGTGAGCTTCTTCAGCTTGTCGATATTTCAGCTTTAAATCCTCCACTTGTGCAAACAGTTGGCACGATTCTCCTGCATTATCCACAGCCTCTTTCAATTCCTCCTCCGTGACTAACAATTTTTTTTTCGTCTCCGACAAGTCCCTACAATACAGACATTTAATTATATATATATAAGATACGCTTCGTTTTGAAATTAATATATAGACTGGTGATCATTAATGACTGGCGCTGTAATATCACCTCGTCTTACTAATTTAAATATAAAACGTAATTAATTGAGTATTAAATATATAGCTGATAGAGAGCCAATGAAACAAATTAAAGAATATATGCTTCACGAATTAGATTTATTTACCGAATATATGATGATTCAAACTTGAGCACTGAAATAATCATGGGAAATCATTCTGTACTACTAACACTTTTGCGGCATCCAAGCTTTTCTTATAGGCATCCATCTTGTGCACCGCGTTATCCAGTTTCTCTTGTAGGATCAGTATCTCTTTTTCTTGCTTCTTCGTCTTCGCCGTGAGCGTATGAACGGCTTCTATTTGAGTGCGTTCCACTTCCTCCTTCGCATGCAACGATCGTTTTAGTCTTTCCAGTTCTGTATTTTGCTCCTCTATCTGCTCTCTAAAAAAAAATATGTCAGTTTCAGTGCGATTTGTTACCAAGGTACAACTAAACGATGATGAAAAAGGAACTGAAGTACTTTTGACTTTTTATTGTAATGTCGGCCTCCTTCTCCTTTAGGCGTAACTTCTTTATAATGTTGCTATGCTGTAATTGCTGTTTGCTCAGTTTCTCGCCCTCCTCGCGAAGTTCTTTTATTATTTCATCCTTCTCGGCGTTTATATTAGACATCTCTTGCGATGATAGACGCGACGCCGCCTCCAGCTTCAACTGGTCCAAATTCTTTCTGAGTTGATCCCGTTCCCTTATCGCTTGCTGAAATTTCCTCTCCAACGCCGACAAACGTTGCGTATACTCGTCCGTGATTTGATTTATATTTTGGTTCTGCTCTGCATGCTTCTCGAAGTTCTCAAGTTGCCTGTAAGATAAACATTATGTGTTTTTGTATTAGTCACATCAGTGTCTTATCATATCTTTTTCGACTAAACAGCAAGTGAATACGTCCACTCACTTCATTAAGTTCGCATTTTGCTCGTGTAATTCCATGTTAATTCTGCTCACGTCGATCAGCTTCGATTCTCTCGCCTCCAGAATCTCAGTCATCTCCTGCACGCGTTTCAGCAACTTCTCGATTTCCAAATTCGCCTCGTCCGATCCAATGCTGATTTCGCTTAACTCCCGTGAGTGACCTCTAGTCTTCAGGGTTTTCGTTAGCAGATCGCTGCCCTTTGTCAGCTGCAATTTAGCTGGACTCTGTCGCGATTGCGTCGAGCTCGAGTCTCCGTTCGGACTGTGAAAAAATCAAGTGTCAGCTATCAATATACCGAATTCTCTGCACTCAAGAGATAGATTATAAATAAACATCTATCTATCTATCTCAAAAGAAACGTTATGTAGTCATGTCTGCACCTGGATATGATCTCGATGTCGCTCGATGTGGTGGTTTCTAACTCGTCTCCGCTCGTATGTCCACTAGCCTGATCCGAGCCGATTTTGACTAGATCGGAGCGACTGCAAAGGAACAAAACACGAAAATTTCTTTTTACAAAAGAATGGTAATAAAAAAGGTATTATAAATTTCCAGGATTGTGGAAAGTAACTGATTACTTGTGACACCGTTACAAGTCACCTTTTTTCAATAACAATTTAATGTTATTTTTTTTATTAGTAACGCCAACAATAACACGATTACATTTTTTGGGTAACAATAATACGCAAGTATAACCGTTACTTGCGCATATATAATACATGCACATAGAATGGACAATGGAATCTTGGAAGAGAGACTTCGAAACTTTTAAGAATAACGAAAATTGTAATAATAACAGTGATGAATTCCTTTTTAGAACTAACTTTTTCAATCCCTTAGATTTTAATACTTATATGAACGAATGACATACCTCTCCGAGGATATAGGTGAATTTTCTCGCGGCACTTCCGCGCAGTGAGCTTCTATGTCAATAATTTCACCCTTTTCTACCATAGCGTCTGCCAACATTGTTTTCACATACGAGCTGGCGGTCAATGGCGTTTCCAGGACTTTGGAGACGTCCGTGCACACCAATGTGGCGTTATCTTCTGAACTGCTCTCTATTAGAGTTCCTTCCCCGCTGGAATCGGTGGATATCAAATACTGATCGGTTGTACTCTCGATCGTGCCCTCCACGTTCTCGACTTGGGAATAACTATCCGGATCCGGCGGCTCTATAGTCGTGCTCATCAACTGCGAAAAAGTAGGAGTGTCCGCTTTCTCGTTCACTCCCTCCAAATGCTCCTGTTTGCGAATCGGCTGTGTGGTGATCGGTTCAAGCGTCAGGTGCAAGTTATGCTTCTCTTTCAGCGAGTCCAGACTTAAGTTTAACTTGCTTTCCGCGCAAACCTTCGCCGATACTTGCTTGTCGTCTGGACACGAGTCGTGCATCTTTGTGGGTATTCTTATGCCGACCTCCACCTGTTCCATCTTGCTCTTGACAACGTCCAATTGCTGAAACGGCTCGAGTACCGTCATCACCGTACCTTCGGAAGCGGAGGTGTAAGAATCTTCGGCCAGGCTCACTTCGTCCAACTCGTCTACGTCTGGTATCACCTCGACGCTCTCGGGGGAAGTCTTCGAATCGTTTGCGTGCAATGAACTCTTCGTGTCTAAGCCGGTGAACGCGTTCGGCGATGGCGTGCTGTCGACGCTGCATGAACATGAGTTGGTACTCAAAGTCTTAACTTCCTCCATGGGAGATTCGTATGGAGAGATGTCCGACGAGGAGGGTTCCGCGAATTGATCTCTACTTGGCAGCTCCAACATGTTCTCACATTCTCCGCACGGAGTGACACACTCGTCCCCGTCATCCGGGACAGGCGACAGTTCCGAATTCTTCGGATCTATCGGAGACAAATAAGGACTGCTGTCGCTCTTCCAGTCGCCCAGGACTTCTACGGAACTCGGCGACGTTACCAGACTGTCTGGCAATATCTCGACCGACTCGGAGTTTACCTTGATATCCACGACGGAAGGGCTTATAGAATTGCTGACGGAATTGGGATCCGACTCCGGCGTGGTGGTGCAGTCGGTGTTGGACTGCGAACCGAGTATCTCCACGCTTTCCAGGCTCTTCTTGTCGCTTCCAGAGGAGACAGTAGGTACTTGGAACACATTGGTAGGACTTGGTGTTTGATTAATGTCGTTGCTCTCCGACGCCATTTCATTGTCATCTTGTTCTGTCTCATTTTCATCAGTGCTGCTTGTGGAATCATCATCATCATCATCATCATCATCATCATCATCGTCGTCGTCGTCGTCGTCATCGTCGTTGTCGTCGTCGTCGTCGTCGTCGGTATTATCCGTGTCTGGTGCATGGTAGACTTCTTCCAAATTTAGGCTGACACTTTTACTCATATTCTCCTCGCTTTCGGTAGGAACAACGTTTTCTGCAGACAACTGTTCTGACGGTATACAAGATTCCCGTGTGACCTTATCGTTAGTTTCTTTAGATGTGCTACAACTAGTATTTACAGATTCACTAGCTACGCTGGACTCTTCTACGTTTTCCATATGTACAGACTCATGCCTTTTTATCGCAGACTTCGTCGACTGCTCGACCAGTTTTTCAGGGACCGAGACAGAAGACACTATCCCAGATTGCTGTTCATCTTGACTGACAGCACTTTGCAGTGACTTGGAATGTTTGACAATCTTCTTTCCTGCGCTTCCTTCCGCGACCTTGGGTGCCTCAAAAAACGAGCCTGTGAAACTACCCCAGATACTGCTTGAGCTCGACTGTTTCGGTGGATTTTTCTCCTGCTCATTGGCACGGTCCTCATTTTTCAATCCCCAACTCGCAAAGAAGTCCGAGCTCTCGTCTGTGTGAGTTTGAATCATCTTTGGCTCTTCATCCTTGATATCTAATGCTTTGTCTATAGTTTTTTGAGCTTCCTTCAGGGCGGATTTTGCCAAGTTGGCAAATCCCGCGGCATCAAACCAACTCATGTCTCTTGCGCCTAAAATAAGAGAACAGTAATGTTAATCTCTGTTGTTCCACATTCAAATATTTAGAGTTAAGATTAGGTAATAACTAAGTAATCAGTTAAAAGTTAAATAAAATGTTATTAATTTGTTAAAATTAATCTTAAATAAGTGAACTTTTAACTTAACTAGTTATTTTGAAATATGTTAACTTCATAGTTTTTCCTGCATATAATATTGACAAATTATTTTAACTTGTGTAAAAAATAATAATGGATAAAAACGAGTAAAAAATAACAAGTTAATAACTTTTAACTTTATTTAGTCAATTTTAGATTAAAAAACTTTTAAATTTTTAATTACAATTCTAGTTATTTTTACATACATTAACATTTTAAATTATTAATTTCTATTATACAAATTAAAATTATCCATCAATATTTTCTGCAAGGTTCTCTGCATATAATATTTTTAAATTATTTTCATTTGTATAGAAAAGAATAATGAATAAAATAATAAAAAATAATGTTAGCAAAATTTTGATTTGTTTTTCTGAATGCTGTTTTTTTGTATAAAATTCTGAGCACAATATTGACATTTTCTTATAAAAAGGCGATTTTCTCATTATTTTACATAAATTTAACCTACAATTAATTATGCAACAAATATATATAGGATGTCTCAGTTCTTACGATTTGAATTTATATTGATAGGTTCTCTGAACATTTAGTCCAGATTTACAATATGCTCTTTTTGCTTCCTGTTCCTTTTTTTTCTGACTTAAAAAGAATATTTTCTGACTTATAAAGAATATTTTTTTCTGACTTAAATTTTTTTCTGACTTAAACCTTTATCCAGTAAATGATAGAGAACAAAAAATAAGTAAAAATAGAAAGAAAAAATAAGAAGCAAAGAACACGTTATAGATCAAACCTTAGAATTGACTTTTTTCAACAAAAACACTGAGACACCAATAGTTTCTGAGATACAAACAATAGAAAAATAAAGTTTGCTTATCGCAAACTAAAGTTCAAACGACCAAATTGTCTTTCTCTGTCAATTTCAAATGGACTTTAACAGAATCTTTACCTTAAGTATTAAGAAATATATGTTATAGTGGAAATTAAAAAGCTGCCATGAATAACGACCTTCCTCAACATTTTCAATGAGAAGCAATTAATTCTAAATTGCTCCGAGAATCCATCGATATAAAATCGTGAGAACTAGGACATTCTATATATTGTTTTGCACAATTAACCTTCAGTTTTAATAAATTAATTTAATTTTGATTTAACTTTTAAGTCTGTTTATGTAATTTTAATATAGCCAAGTTGATTTTACCGGCCATCAACTTTAAGTTTAGCTTAGTCAAAAAAAAGTTGACTTACCTAACCCCGCAAATATACGTCTCTATTGCAAATCAGCTGTGTAGTGTAAACATTACATGGACGTGAAAATTCGAGTTTAATCAAACCAGCGTACATCGATCGATGTCGCGTTGATTCTCAAGTAACGAATTCAATGCTGCAGAAATCGTATTAGTCGTACTTTCACAATTATCTGCGGACTGTTGAAAACATTACTCGAAGCATTACAATTACCGCACTGTTACGTGGCATCTTTCTGCAAATTCGTTAGTCGTCACCAACGCGTAAGATGTTCCCGGAGGATATCTCTATCGTGCTGGTTCGCTAATTAATCTCTCTCTCTCACTGTTTACGACCAAGCTGCGTGTTATATTATCGCCAAAGTTGCTGTTTAGCAGCCGACATATTCGTGACAGCTCCCGTGTGTGCAGTTGTGGCAGTGCTGCCAACTGTTACTTTACGCTTTACCTATTCCTACCAACATACTTTGCTTGTTCTTCGGATTTGAACCGCGTCTTCCTTGTGTTTGATTTCATGAACATATTTCAGTTCCTCAGAGAACAGGGTAATCTGAAACTGATCTGAAACAGACCTTATATACGTTTATCCCAGGTTTGTCTTTTATAAATGCACTTTTTGAACTACGTTGCACTCTTTCTACTTTCTTCTCTCTTCTACTAAGCGCCAAATGTCCATCTGCTTCGTTTTAAGTGCAGACAGCGCCACTTCGTGCAGTTAGAACAGACTCGTCGACTAATATTCGTATCAGACTATGAATTAAGGATTTTGCAGTCAGATCAATCAAATAAAGCAGAACTAAAATTTAGATTACCTGACTGAAGGCCAATGATTGTTCTAACTTCTTGGTAAGCTACCTGAAAGTTACATTATATGTCTATCCTCGTTTTTCTTCAAATTGGACAGAGACAGACATATGATTTAACTGTAAGTAGCTTACCGAGAGCTTGGGATAATCGGCCCTAATCCAAATACAATCTTTAATCCATAGTCTAATAGAGATATAAGTTCATGTTGCACACTTTCATGCTGAAAGCATAATTCTATCTTTATTGCTCATTATATGCTAAATGAAGATAGAATGATACTTTCAGCATGAAAGCGTGCAAGACGAACTTAAGCCAGGGGCACACGATGTTTGTTTTTGTGCTGGTTTGCTTGCTGGAAATACTCTGTTCTAATTGGTGCATTTCTGAAGATAAATGGAAATGCACCAATCAAAACAGAGTATTTTTATCCAGCACGAAACAAGCACCGTGTGGCGCTGGCTTTAGCCGACATCGATTTTCCCCGATCCGTCATCGTGTTCTCCGCCTGGAAACTCGCCGTTGAATTTCCGCAATGTAAAATGCCACACTAAATTACGAGAGATGCGCTGCACAACTAAGAGCGCGCGTACTAATTTGCGCAATGTCCGAAGGGATCATCCTGCCGAGAAACGCTGGAGAATGGTTAGTTTTAGCTGCATCTTCTACACTCGATCGTGAACGAGGAAACGCAGCTGAGTGCTCGAGATGGACCGATAATTAATTGCGAAAAGTCCCGCTGCTATCGCTTATTCTTTTGCAACGATCAATGAGAATCGATCGAATGAGTAATTATTTTATTTTTAAATAAATACGAAGTATAAATAATTCAACTGATAAGCACGCCACGTTTTTTTAGACAAGAATACTCATGGCAAATCTGGAATGTCGTTTCCTTCAGCTTGAATTTTGTGATTTTAATCAATTTACCGTGTTTATAATCAATCTTTGGCAAGACGCTTTTGGCCTTTATCACGACTGTAGTTGAAGGGCCCCGGTACTGGCCTTATTCCCAACAGCTCCAGTGGCGCAATTGGTTAGCGCACGGTACTTATAAGACAGTGTTCGTGAGCGATGCCGGGGTTGTGAGTTCGAGCCTCACCTGGAGCATTTTTTTTTCTCCGAGCTGCTGCTCGATTCGCCACCGTGCCGGTCGACCGGTCGTCCCGTAATTTCTCGCGTTTTAACATCGCTCGCAGATTAATTAATTAGCAAGCCGACGTCGCAAAATCTGCGAGAAACGATTTTAATAATACAACCGGAATAAAATTCATTTATTGCGAGGTATCTAAATTCCTTTGTAAATACATTGAAAAGTAGAATGTAAATTGCATATGAACAATTTTTATATCAACCAGAATAAAAAAAAGAGAATATGAGTCAATTGTTGAATTATTGGATGTGATACTTAATAGATAATAAGCATAGTTATTTTGACATCGAAAACCGATCATTTGTTGACTAAATTTGACATCATGAACTGAACTCATTATGATATGAAAAAGACGGTCTAACAAATTTTTTGATAAAAGTAACATATTTTGACGTCATAATATTGTGACGTGATGAAATTATGTATTCTTTAACATAATATATTGAAGATATAATTAAGACACAAATATCATCGACCTAATTAGAAAACTCCCTAACTCCATTCTTGTACAAAATTGAGATAATTATATTATGCGATTTGTTTTATCAAGACAATGGTATAATCTTTTATCAAGATAATGGTATCTCAAGAATCTTGTTTTCACAAGAAAAAAATACTAGTGCTTAGAAAGACAAAAAATTATTCTATCATTATTTAAAAAATTTTTTACACACAATATTAGCGGCATTGTTAGCGGTGTGTAATAATACCGTAATATAACCGTAATATTACCGTAATATTACCGTAATATTAATATTAACTGTAATTATTAATGAGGAAAGGGGAAAATTATTTTAATTTATATAAAAAAGTTAATAAGTTAAAGTTAATGCATTAAAATAACTAGTTTAAATTAAAAATTGAATCCTTTAAAATTAATTAAATAAAATCAGAAGTTATTAATCTTTTAATGTTTTAACTTAACTTTTAACTGATTAACTAGTTACTACCAGACAACATACTTCCAAGGGACGTCTTGTGAACATCCTGGAGACGTCCTTATGTTCTCCAAGACGTCCTCGAAACGTCAAAAAGTTTGTATTATTTAGGTATACAACCATGAAAATATTTAAAAATGTTAATCTAATGTTTCTTGTTTATTGGTGTGTATAATATTTGATATTTGAAGCTCCCGCGATGTGCTAAACTGACAGAAAAATATCAAAAAAATATTTAAAAAATATTTATTAGTTAGGTATTAATCATATATTTGTTTATACTAATACATTTATACACATTTTTATACTAAAAAAAATTATTTCGATGAAAAAATATACTTTTTTTCCAAACCTTAACTTTTCATAAAAAAAGTAATTATTTATCCTATTTAAATGAAAGAATTTAGATTTAAATAACTATGCTATCAGTACTCACTTGGTTTCCGAGTTGAAGTTACTCCTCTCTAATGAACCGGATTTAAATATTCATGGGACGTTGAAGATAAAACCACAAAAGAAGAAAAAAGTTATTTTCCCCGGAAGCTTTTAGCGTATATAATATTTGCATATATATATATATATATATATATATATATATATATATATATATATATATAATGTTCGTTAATCGACATTAGATTTCCTTGTGAAAGAAACGTGTGTGCATAATATCAGCGTGCCCGGGCTGGAAATCTGGAAGAAGATGTCAAACGATCGTATTCGAGTCACAAAGAAACGCTGACCCAAATTGATCGAGATATAATGGACAGAAGAGACAGAGGGAGGAGGAGGAGGAGGAGGACGACATATCCCGCTGTTATCGTTATTAATGGCAGGCGCGTTAAAATCGAGGTTGCGAACGATGTTTTATGCTAAGTACCTGATCGCCAGGCAAATCACGAAACGAGGTATACCTATTAAACGGACGTCGTCGATGTTCGCTGATGTTACGCCGGGCGGAACAATGGCATCGGGGTCCGCTTTCATAAAGATATGCGCGCTTTAAAGGTGCTTTAAAAGCTCAGCCACCGGCGCCCCGCTCGTCAGTTTCATTCCGGTATTCAAATTGAAAATGTCTCGACCGTGTTACAAGGCGCGATTCAGCAGCGACGCAAAAAAATACCGTGTTGTCTGGCCAATGCAGGTGTGATTGTCGCGAGAGTTCTTAATTTTGCTGATTTTCCCTCCCAAATCAAGATAAAAGGATCTTTCAAGTCTCGCCTTTGGAGACTTGAATTACTTTTGAGAAAGTTCGATTAAATGTTACATCTGCACGAAAAAGAAATGCTGTCGTGTCGATAGAATTGTTCACAATTGCGCCACAATAGACTAAATCTTTTTTATTCCAATAGCAACGTCATCAAAACTAACACTTGAATTATTAAAACAGTAAAAATGTGTGTGTAAAAATGTGTGAGTAAAAATCATTGATAAAGAATTATTGCAATGGTATCTAATAACATATAAAGTTTTTTAATATGCATACTGAAAAAAAAGATTTGAAAATTTATTTGTAAGATATAAAGTTTACTCGCAGATATAAACTTATGTGATTTCACAGAAATAAATTTTATATATCCTACAAATAAATTTTTAGGTATTTTTTTCAGTGTGGTTTTTAAACGTTATATCCATATCATTATGAACTATGGTATATTTCCAGAACATTTTTACAATATTCAGAAATATTATATCATCCCATAATATCTTTGGGAATACTTTTAAAATATTAAGCAGAAAGTTTGCAAAAGTATTCACATAAAGTCAGATTTCAAGATGTTGATTCAGTGTTCTTTATTTACTGAGATGTATAACTTGTTAGTTTTAATAATATCACTATTGAACCAAAAAATGATTTATTCCATGGTGTCAATGACCAATTCTACTGATAGGACAGTATTTTTTCTGCATATAAACTTTTCGTATACTCAATTCGTTGCGACAAGTGCTAAATAAAAAAAAAACAAGTGCTAAATAAAAGAAATATGAAATAAAAACTAACAATACTTTGTTAACAAATTTCGTTAGTAATATTTTGTTAAGTTGATCGCGAATTACTGCAGATCTACCGATGCCTCCTAATCCTTGGTGCGGTGTTTTTGGAAAACGTTGCGGACAGATTAGAATCCCGGGACACGGTCCTCGTGAATTTCCATCGCAGATACAACGTCTCTAAAGTGGCGATACTCCGCAACGACCGTTACCTACCCCCGGCGAACGTGCCGGATTTCTCCTTGCCAGAAGTGATCGATAACAGAGCGCGAAATGTCGTAGCGGCGACGAATGAGACCAGAAACTACCTCAATGTGTTGCATCTTCCTGAACGGGATTTCTTGCGAGCTCTCACGCGCAGCAAGGGCTTGCAGGACGCGAAATATCCAGAGAGCGGGTTGCAGCATCCTCATCACCGTCGACCTGCCTCTCCGCAAGGCAAACATTCACGACAGACCACAACGCAGTCTTCTCTTCTTCTTCCTCCTCCTCTTCCTGCTGTCGCCAGTGAAACACCGCTGTCGTCTTCGGCGAATCGCATCAGCATAGGAGAGATGTCCTGTCAAAACACGGGAAATGAATTATTCTTTAGGTAATGAAATGCTCTAGTAAATTAGAAACGTTAGATTAAGGTGATTGGAGGATCAGATTACCTGAAAATCGTGCTTGTTCTTTCACAATTTTTTATGACAAATTGAATAAATATGCGAAAGTGTTATTTTGACGTAAATTTATACAACATACAAAGAGAAGAAAAATATAATTTTGATGATCAAATACTCAATATAAGTGTATGGTACATGCAGTTAAAATATAGTTTGTTTTTCTTTTCAAGATTGTCATTTTGCAGTAATATCTTGACTTTCGGTAGTTCAATTAAGTTGAATTTTAAGTAGAAAATTTCTGTAAGCTTGTCGTTATCGTGTGAACCACTATAATAGAAATTAAGTAAAAGTTAACAAAATTGCAAGTATCTTTATGGAATATTATGAAATTTTCAGTTTTTTGTAGTAAAAAAATTAATATTCCAAAATTAAATATTTTCACGAGTTTGTCAGTGGTTCACACGATAACGACAAGTTTACGGAAATTTTCTATCTAAAATTCAGCTTAATTGAACCACCGAGAGTCAAGATATTACAGTAAAATGACGACCTTGAAAATAAAAACTAAATATATTTTAACTGCATGTACCATACACTTATATTGAGTATTTGATCATCAAAATTATATTTTTCTTCTCTTTGTATGTATAAATATACGTCAAAATAACACTTTCGCATATTTATTCAATTTGTCATAAAAAAGTGAAAGAACAAGCACGATTTTCAGGCAATCTGATCCTTCAGTCCCCTTAAGGCTTTTGACTCGTCGCCCTTTTGCTTTAAAGTGTTCCAGATTCTACTCCGCAATTTTTATGGAAACATAAAACGGATTGAAGAGAATATAAAAATCTTATACCGTTTTACGATATTCGTAATAGATCTCGAGATATTAATCAAGATTAGTGAATGATCACACGTGATATGGTAGATGAGCTGCAGTGGTGATGTGTGCTGTACTTCAGGTGAAAATGAACAAAAAGTCTTTTATTATTTTGCAGATAGCCAGATTTTTTATTTTTAATGAAAGAAAATTGTTACATAATTCTGCACGGATCTTCTTTAATATCTAAAAATCTATCTGGTCATTTACAAAATGGTAAAGGAGTTTTTTTATTTAGTTTAATCTAATGTATAAGTATACGACGGTAGACGACGCTATTATTGTAAATATCGCAAAACAGTAGGATTTTTATGCTCAATCCGTTCCCACAAAAATTACGGAAGAAAATCTGGAACAGCTTGTATAATCATTATATATTCATAAAATTAATCTAACGTGGCAAATACTTTAATCATACAGACACACATATGATTTTATCACGTTAATTTTATGACTAATTTCATAGTTCTTTATAGCCATTGTAAAGAAAAAATGATAAATATGCATAAAAAGTTACACTTCACTGTTGTTGTTATTGAAATTGAATATTATAAAACTTCACTTATAAAATATTATGCAGAAATGTTACAAATAAATAAATATAAATGTATATATATAAATGTTTCAAAAAAAAAAATATATATATATATATATATAATATTTTTTGTTTACTGATATCATATGATAATTTTGTTTACGGATATCATTGTGATAACTTCATAAAATAAAACATAATATTAATGTTTTAATAATCGTCTTAATAAATATTTTAATAATATAAAAATAAAATTAATGTTTGAACAATCAATAAAATTTATTTGTTTACTTGTGATCAATTATATTGGATTGTGTAAAGAGTAATTTCGGATTTTTTTTAAATAAAATAAAACGCACGAATTGTATTTCCAAATAAGTAAAAATACTTAACATAGCATATACATTTAATGTATACTTTGTAACAAAGTTGTAAAAATTCTTCTCGATCTAATAATTGATATGAACAAATGTCTTTCAAATCAACTAATTGATATGAATGAAAGAAATTAAAGATCGTTCAATTAATAATAAAGCTTAGTAAATTTAATTAAAGACCGTTTAATTGACGATTGATATGAATAAATTTGATTGATTCAATATAAGAATGTTCAATTTTTCCAAGTTACAATTGGTTTTGCAGTTAATAGTCATACTGAAGTTCGTGGGAGCATCGCGGAAAATGTCCATGAGCGAGAAACGTCAAATAGAACTTGCGTTGAGGGGGGCATTGATTATATAAGTCGTCATTGAACAATCTTTCACTTCTTACAATCAACACAGTCGAGGTATTTCTTATAAAATATTATCTTTTCATTATTTCACATAAATTGAATTTATATTGGGAGTACAAATTAGTTCGGTCCGTTTTTTTGTGGTCAAAAATGCATTTATTTCAGAACAAAATGAATGAACAGATTAATCAAAGTATTGTCCATCGCTGGCTACTACTTTTTCCCACCTCTCAGGCAATTTTCGAATTCCATCTCGAAAAAAATGTCTCGTCTTTTGAGGCGATCCAAGTTAGGAGCCAATTTTTGATTTCTGCGAAAGAAGTGAACCGGTGACCTGCCAAATCGTGCTGCATCCGTCGGAACAACCAGTAATCAGAAGGAGCAATGTCCGGCGAATACGGCGGGTGCGGTAAAATATCCCACTTGAGCGTTTCCAAATAATTTTTTACGACTGTTGCGACATGAGGCCGAGCGTTATCATGCAGAAGAATAACTTTGTCATATCTTTGCTCGTATTCCGGCCGTTTTTCTCGTAATGCACGGCTCAAACGAATCAACGAACTCCCAATGATTCTGCAAGCTCCTTTTGCGTTTGACTCGGATCTTCATCGAGTAATGTCTCCAATTCTTTGTCTTCGAATTTTTTTGGCTGTCCAGAGCGAAGCTTGTCTTCAACGCTGAAATCACCATTCTTGAAACGTCGAAACCATTCCCTACATGATTTATCAGTTGGAGTATTGTTACCATAAACTTCTACAAGCATTCGATGCGCTTCAGCTGCATTTTCTTCCAATTAAAGCAGAAAACTAAAACCTCCCGCAAATGCTGCTTAGTTAACACAAAATTTGACATATTCAACACAGGGTAAAAAACAGGGGTTTTGTATGAAACTCAAAGCGATATAAACTGAATATTATTGACAAATGTCTAACCTCTCTGAAACCACCGAAATCAATTGTCACTGTTATGAAACATTCATAACAGCCAAAGCTATCTTTTGAAAACGGACCGAACTAATTTGTACTCCCAATAATTAAAAAATTGATTATGTATGAAACATATCTCAAATAGCTCAAATTTCCACAAGACATCCTAAAGACGTTCTGAGGACATTTCTAGGACATTCCTTGAAGATCTTGTGCTGTTTGGGATACTACTTTGTATGATTAACTTTTGGCTTTATCTTGGGCTTGAATAGTGTGAGCTCGGATGCCGGAACCACCCAGTTCAGGGTACATGAGCGCATGTAATAGTCTTCGCGGACTTCAAGAAGGAGGAGCAGAAAGGAGTTGAAATTATCTCCACCGTTTAAACAATAACAGATTTGATTTTATTAGAGTCCAATTTGATGCGAATTTACCGTCCGTGTTTGCTGGTTAAGCTGGCGTGAATTCTAGCGATTTCTCGCGATTTCTGGAACCGCAGAATTCCGTAGATCGGTCGATCGAGAAATGAGAACTCGTCGCAAAAGAATGAGATCGGTCGGAAACGTTGCGGAAGCGAGGTTACACGATGGAGTCTGTCCTGTTCGAAATAGCAACTCCGGTTACAGATTTTCGGAACGGAACACGACATTACACTGACGCTTATTGGTTACGAATTGAATTCTAGCCGTTTAGACTAAGTAATAATCAATAAACTAAATATAAATCAAAACAAATTTTAACGGATGTTCTGTGTCAGAGTTGTAAAAATATCAATTAAATTCGTCTCAATTTAATAATTGATTTGAGTAAATAATTTCTAATTTAATTAATTGACGATTAATATAAGCCTATTCAATTAAGAATATTTTAATTGATCACTGACTTTAAAAAATCTAATTAAAAATCATTCCTAACGATTGATTTGAAAGAATTCAATTAAAAACTATTAAATTAACGATTAAAACGTGCGAAAGTAATTAAAGATTATTCGATTAACAATTGAACATAGTCAATGTAATTAATGGTTATTAAATTGACAATTGATATAAGCAATATATACAAGGTGTAAAAAAATTAGACCGACAAACTTTGAGGTGAAATAAAAAACATAAAGACAAACATATTTTGTTAATAATGTTTTTCTCTACGACGCTTCGTTTTAATACTACAGAGTACAAAATAGGAATTTTATGATTTTAATAAAAAAACATATAAGTGGAAAAATTAAATTTATTTCAATTACACATATATATTTTAATCTTCAAAAAACAGTGAACAAAAGACCGGAACAAAAATGCGCAATTGATTAGCTCAATTTATAATAAATGTTCAAAAATTCCTCCATTTGCTCCAACATAAAGATGACATCGTCGAAACGTTGATTGTCTCACACGCTCGAAGACTGCAGGAATATTTTGAACCTAATATGCTGCAACAGTAATTCGGGCTACCAATTCTGCTTTTGTTTCAATAAGTGTCTCATAAATGAGACACTTGATATAAATAAGAGTTTTCATATGCTCCCATAAAAAAAAGTCAAGCGAAGATAAATCTGGTGACCGAGGAGGCCATGCGATAAGACCTCTTC